AACATAGACTCTTAAATTACAAATTATGAAGATATAGTTAGCGATTGTGCAAGAACTAGGTCAAGATGAAAAGTCTATTTCATAAATAAAACGTTAAATTTTTACATTTAAAAATATGTTCAAGTTTATATTTTGTACTCAGAGTACTCTTTTCAAATTACAGATATATGTACTAGCAAAAACGCTCAATTCTTATAAATCAAGTTCGTCCTATCAATCAAGGTAAAGGGTGGCGTGAAGTTTAGGTCAAAACTATCTGCTAGGAACTTTTACATCGATTCTCTTTTTTGCTATGTTACCTATAATTATTGTTATCATTTCATATTAGTTATGTGTGTTGTGATTCACGTATAATTGATGAGTACATACTATGTAGTATATATGTTACTTATTATGTTGCGAGAGTATATTTTAATGATTAAAAAACTATTCTGTTTCTGAAAGAGTTTTAAACAATAATCTCGTAATATCATTGACGAGTGAAGAGCATTTTTATGGTATTATCCCATTGATGCGGCATAAATGGCAACAGTCAACATTTTTCGGTACAGATTGTATTGTACTATATATTATATTAAGTTTTATATTTATTAATTAAAATATACGTACGAAATATTTAAATCTTTAGACTGAATAGGCGGCGAAAGACTTAAAGTTTTAATAATAATAATTGAATTTATTATTTCCGTACTGTTTTATGTCTTGATAAATATGTACATACGGATACTTATAATTGAGAGACTTTTAAATAATCGGTAGCAAGAAAATGTATCTTTAAGTAAAATCAAACGCATTTCTACACTATATGAGAACTTCTTCTTCTACCTGGCATTTCCCAGCTATAGCCAGGGTCTGCCTTACATGTTGTGAAAAGTTTTTGGCTATTTGTTTTTACGACCGGCCGCCTGCCTGACATCAACCCTCTTTTGGGAATCAACATTAATCAGTGATGTCTAAATACTCTTAGAAAGTACATATGATTCGCAAAAATCACATTGGTACTTGCCCGGGCCAGGATCGAACCCGCGCCCTCGGCGACGAGAGGCGGGCCCTTTAACCACTGAGCCACCACTGACTTACTATATGAGAACACTCTATTTTAATAGATCCAGGATGTCATATTTTATTTTTCACCTTCATTGTGTGACAGAGAAATAAATATTTTAAGATAATTTGTTCAAAGTAATTAAATTTTCTGCGTGAACGAAAAATTAAACTCGCTGTTTTAAAAATATCACATCATTTTTTGGGAAACAGTTTTTTAAGGTGTTGATAGTTAAATGTTCCATGATAGTTAAAAATGTTTTTTCTACAACATGGACCATGTACGTTACTGGTTTTACTGTTTTTGTGTTTGTTTATTAACAACAGTCACATAACTCACGTTTGTTGTGTACTCACATTATACTCGTAGTTTCTTTACTATTATCAAAATTCTAGTTCATAGTATAAATGTAGTTTTAAGAATGAAAACCTGCAAGCTCGTATTCCGTCCGCAATAGAAGCTATGGTTAGTAGTTACTATGGTTACCATAGGAATACACATTTATAAGTACGAAAGGAGCCACTTACGTATTTCATTTGTATTTTTTTTTTACCTAAACCAAATAAGAATAGCATATAAAATTACTTCATTGAATTTATTATTTTAACTCGATGAATAAAGGACTTAAAATAACATTTTAATTAAAATAATTATAAAAATGTGATCATAAAAATACTTAATATGACATTTTATTAAATAATTAATTAGTATTTCAAGTTAAATAATTACTAGAATAGTTGAAGAATGTTAACCGATTAATGTTTTATGAGTGTGCGTTAAAGCCACGGTAGTTCGCGCAAAATATTTTTCCTACATTTTATATAAAAAAAATGTTTTGTTCACTTTTTTTCTGTATAAACTTCGACTGTATTAAATTCTACATTCATGATTTCGCGGAATTTTCACAAAAAGGGATACAAACTCTTCGTTTCACCTATTAACGTCAGGATATGCCGATTTAAAAAGTTGAATTAAATGAACATCGTTGCTTCACACTTATTTGTTCATTTTACATTTCTTGTCGTGACTCTCAAACAGTTTAAATTCCTTTGACACGCTTTGGACTGTTGTTCAACTTATTCTTGGTGACGGCTATTACGATCTCTAGTATGTAGATTCTTATAATCGTATTAATGTAGACTACACTTTATGCTAATTGATGCATCGTGTTTTTTTCGCGGTGTGGTTAAATGATAACCGTTGGGATTTGTTTTGGAAATAATTAAAACACTTACAATACAATACTGCTTAAGTTTGGTAACGTTATAAAATGGTTTTTTTACAAGATTTTACTTACTTTTTGAATAGTTCTATTCAAAGGCTGCTCTTTAATTTTCTGGTATCAATTTACTAGTTACAAATTCCCAAACCAAGAGTGTGAAAGCGCTTGTTTTATGAAAGATGTAAGTTGCAAGGTATTTTATTTTTCAAAAAATACCTTCTTATAAACAAAATCTAGTAACAATGCAATTTTATATTAAACCGCATAAGACTAGTGTTTGATAAAAAAGCACAAATATAAATCAATATCAAAAAATGTAAATTTAGAGATTAGGTTTTTATTTTCTTAATTTAATTATATATTACGTTGAAAACTATTTCACTTTTACTCATAATTCATATGCATTCATCAGCACAGAGAAATACGTGAGTTATAACAACGCATTCGTACTCCCTTCTCGAACGGCTCAGCCTTAAGTTTTTCCCCAAACAACGGATGGACCCAGGTGAACCCTGGTTATTAAGGATTGCCAACGTATCCTTGTGGTCACAAGGAACGCCCAGCCGCGGTTACCCAATAGAATTTCTTATAGCAGAGGGTGATATGTCGCTCCGCCTTTGTGGGTATCTACCCCCTCATAAAGCCGCCCCTAAGACCGTCGGTAGATCTTGACACTTTCAGTGAACGCTTATGAGTCAGTGGCGGAACGGTGATGGAATCAGGAGGAACTGATGTAAGTATATAAAGATATTTGATATTCATACATCTTACTGTACCAAAACACGCCGAACGACACTGCTGTTGTTATAATCATTTTATAACTTTATTATTTTCGGTAAACACGTGTCATAACGTAATTATTTTTAAATGAAACATCAATGTTGTTATACATGAATTTAAGTCATGATATACAGGATGAAAATAATTTAATTTAAATTTGGACGTATGTGCAACGGACGTCATGCGTGAAAATTAATTTTATACACAGACAATAGACGCACTCAAAAACAATATCCGTAAACGATTCCGTAGTGAGTGTTTATAAATATGTTATGCAATAATTATACACAGAAAATGTAATATGAAACTGTTTAAATGTGTAATAAAGCAAGTGCCGGCCGTAATTTAATTTGAAGCATTCTCTATCGGTGATACATTTTACATATTGCCCAATTCGTGAAATTCTCTATTGATACAAACACATTAATATTTGGACTTGAAAATCTATGTTTGAACAGACGATCAACGTTTTATTTGAATATAAATAAAAAATAAAAATACAGCTTAGTTTAAAAAATATTCAATGAAAAATAAAAATAAAAAAATATGTTTATGGTACAACTGAATAAATAAACATCGTTGTAGTGTGAATATTGTTGTCGTTATAAATTTATAACGTACTTGGCATCAAATGAAAACTGCAACAATGGACTAAAAACAATGTAGCCCTACTTGTATATTCTCTGCATATTGTTAATGCAGGCACATATATAATATTTATTAATATTTTCAATTTCAAACAATAAAATTGACCTTATTTTTAGCAAATTTATCGATAATAATACTAATCCATATTTTTGTCTTCTGTTTAAACAAGGTTGATGCTTTATTTTATAACTAACGTTTGCATGTTTTATTAACAGTTAGTTTAAAACTGTCTACATTAGTATTGAAATTAAAACATTTATTTCTTTTCCATATATATAGTTACAAGCAAATTAAGAAACATGAAAAGGCTAAGCTCTTACCTTAGAAGTAATGTTTAAAATTTTCTTTTGAATGCGACTATAAAATATAAATAATTTATTTTGATAGCATGAGTAAAGGATAACAAATATTAATATTATAAAACAAAACTAAATTCAGTACATCTCTGTATAGCAGTTTCATTCTAATATTTTAAATCTGAAAGTGCTTAAATCTATTTGCTTTTGCATGGCAAAGGTCTGTAATAGTAGAGCGAGGTTCCTATTCATTTCAGCCCAAAAAATACAGCACAAAGAGATCTTCTATTAACACAGACAAATGGTATCAGAGAATTTATTTCAGGTCCGATAAATTTAAATTTCAGCAAACAATAAATAAGCATTTGCATTTCTTTACATATATGTAACAAACTCGAATGAATCATAATAGCGAGATACTATCGTACTTGAGGTGGTAGTTATCGCCGGATATAATATTTGTCATTCATAAATAATTAGTGGCTAGAGGTCCCCGTCCTTTTGCCATACGGCGTAATTGTGTCTTACCGTCACGCCACAAATATGTAAACATGTTGCCGTTTAACTATTGCTAAGGGTCGATACATTACGACACGCGTCGGTCATTACGGTTTGACTTTTGAAGCACACGGCCAGCTTGGGTCGAAGGTTGTCCACAATATGGCCTAATTGACGCTATCGTGTCCAATCGGAAATTATTGAAACCATTGATTTGAACAGAGGTTTTTTTTCTAGATCTAATATACATTTAAAATTTATTTTTAATCGCTTTAACGCTAAGACTGAGCAGAAAAGCATCATATACTCGTACCTAAACTAACGTTATCATTATGATGTTTTAAAATCGTATCAAAAATTTCTCGTTCTCGTTAGTAAAAAAAATACTCTATAATCTATCCTATACATGCATATATATAAAGCACTTAAAACTCGAAGAGAGATGTATTTATAATCATAATAAAAGAAAGCCGTCACATAACTCCGTTACGATGATAATAATATCGCGATAATGGCTTTCTGTAAGTCAACTCCTACCTCGGCCCCCGTGAGAGCGGCAGCACGTGTCTCAACCACTGACAATAAGGTGGCATCCAAACCTTACACCATTGTTACAGGGGGCAGAGTCAACGAATTATACCCGTAAAGCTATCAACCAAGAAAATTACTGACATCAAAACGTATGCATTAAGTGTACTTAAGTCTCCATAACTAATGATCGATGTAAACGGCTGATTGAGCGATATCAACTTTATTGTACGAATAGGTATATTTCTATGCAATTTTTGTACAAGTTTAATTTTATTAAAAAAACTCTTATAATTAATAAGTATTTGTATTTTATAATTAATTAATAAGTTTGTCCGAAGTAGCCGAAATAGAAACATTTAAAATAATTATTTTGATTTGTCATTGCATACACCGTTAATTATAATAAATTTTACATTGATAATAATAAGATAAAATGTCAGTATTTTGAACAATTTTAGAAAATAACAAAAGGATAACTGGATCAGTAACATCCACCCACTGGAGATATTATACTGTCTGTGTATTAAAAACAAAACGAAATTATTATATCATAATATAATGGCCTCATATGCATCAAAATGTAATTTGCGATAGAAAAGTTATAATAATTCACATACGGGATCCTATCCCTTTTGCATTATCAATCGATTATTAATACGACAAAGCCGATGATGCGACAAAATTCTTTCAAACTTGCAAATTCGCTTGCCTTTGACGAAATATTGATTGAGGCATTGTATGAAAAATATTTTATATGCACATATTTAAAATGCCGTCATGTTGTCATTCAGCTATGACGACTGTAATATTTTAATGATTTAACGTCCGTTGATAAAAGCGACATTTATCTCTATTAAAATTTGAATATTTCATAACTATGGAAACTCCAACAAAGCAATGTTATAGAATAAAAATATTTTAAATACTTTTCAATACAGAGCCTGTGTGATATGGACTGCAAGCCGGAGGTAGTTTGTCGTGTCTGCGGAGACAAGGCTTCTGGAAAGCACTACGGCGTTCCCTCCTGTGATGGCTGCAGAGGTTTCTTTAAACGAAGTATCCGAAGGTAGTTTGAAAACATTTTCTACTCATAAATCATAAGTTCCGCTTACAAAATATGAAGAAAACTATATGTACCTATGTGTATTTTAGTTTTTAAGTTTTTAATTCAATATTATCGTTTAGATCGTGTTCTGATTCCTGGATGTCAGTTTAGTTGACCCCTATTAGTGAGTTACTTCAACTCAATTAATGTTTAATGATTCTCTCGACTTTTTGGTGCCGCTTATCAAATATTTAATTTTTATATAAATAATTAATAAAATTTGAATGTTATAAAGCCACATATTATGCTGAAAATTGAATTTGGATTCTGGGAAATGGCAGAATGCATTGTGTTATGAAAATAAAAACATTATTTATTTTTGCAAAAATATTTTAAAAGCGCTCTCGAATGTTCACTGTTCAGTTTTTGGTAAATATAAACTTGTAAATATTTGATAGTGGGCATTATAAAATCTGTAAAACGACAACATAAACAGAATGAAAGCGTTAAAATGTCATACTTAAGAATTATTCTTAGTCTTGATATATCAATTGGGAATCCGCTTAATACGGGAAAGGGAGTAAGAATATGCTGAAGAATTAGTTATTACTAAGACGAAAGAGTTGTATTAAAACCGTAGCTAAGCAATCGAAGTAAAGATCTTTAGGTTAAGGGTAAGATGTTTTGTATAATTGATAGAGTTTTTCAACTTTATTTAACACACATATGTTCTGTTCCATATTACCGAATATTTAATAGTGTTTTTTGTTTGTATGATACCAAGAAACTTGGACTATAATTTAAAAAATTCGTACGATATATTGCAATTTTTAAAAAACATGGATAATAAAACTGATTGTTGTAGTAAATAGTAATTTATATACATACAAAAAAAAGGAAATTGAAATATATATGGTAAGGTTTTAATTTGTTAGCCCCAGAATTGGACGGTGTGACTGGAGGACTAAATGGGTGGTGAGACAAAAATGCTTAGCACAAATTTAATAACCCACATAAAAACTATAGTGAGCGAAGATTTAAAACCGAAAATTATCACACCATATTTAATACGAGGACGCAAACTAAGAATGGCACATTCTACTCTGATCACAAGTAGTATTTTTACACCACGTTCGAAGTGTGTCTAGTAGTTCCTAAGTAAATTTACGAAGACGTATGAACGAAAAAGCAGAAACTCTATACAAAATATACGCCAACTTGGCGTAAAGGTATTTTACCATGAAGGGACAATTTGACTTCAAGCTTACCTAAAGAAACATTAACCTTCTAGGAATTTTCAGGATTCAGTTTTTTTCAGCCTTTAAAAAAGACGTGTATTTGTTTTATCTAGTGGTCTGTTGTAAATAACACAGTACAGTATGTTACATTCAAATATACAGCTTAATGGGGAATTAAATCGAAACAAACTAATCTTTTAGTCAACCCTTACAATACACCAAAACATCAGAAATCTCAAGTTTATAATATTAAAAGAATAAATAGGAGTAGGATAACTTTGTCCGTAGACTAGCTCATATTAGATTTTTCTTCACGTGGAGTCTCTTATTTAAGGATTCCGCTTACGAATAAAGTGAAACGACATTAAAAAGGTACTGTGCAAGAACACTTATAGGCACCTTGCATTATGATGCTTAAGAAATACAACCTGTATATTGAGTGTCACTAAAAGGTTTTCTAAAAATCAACACAGCAGAACTAGTAAGTCTTTTTACTAAGTATTTCTAAGCTGGCGGGTAGTTTATGAGTCTTATTACTCATATAACTCGCTGCCATCCGATGTATTAAAGCATTTCAAGGGTTTTGAGCTAGAATATGATATTAAAGGTGCATAATATTTTCTCATAAATTAAATCCTGCCAATAGTAATTTGATTTGCGATTTTACGCGTTTTATCACTGCATTTCTTATTATGGTATTTTGCCACTCATTTTTGGTCGCTTGACAACAAACTGTTCAGATTAACTGACTTTATATGGTTCTGGGAAATTAAACTGTTCTGTGCATTAACACAATATTTCCAATTTCTTAGTTTATTATAAGCTTTCAATTTAAGTATAATAAATATTTATATCGTCACGTTTTTAGTAGATATTATTCCTATGATAGTTTTATTCCAGTAACTTTTCATTTATTGCGCTATATTTTCTTCAATAGTTTTGATATCTAGACCTCCCCGTCTCCCGTAGACTTAATTTGAATACAGAACAAAATACAAGGCAGGCTTCTTTAATCAAATGTCTATTTAAAAACTTCGAAAAGAAGAAATCCTTTACTATTTTATTTCAAAAATATAAATTTAAATTGTTTTTGTTTTTAAAGCTGCTATTCCTATTTATATTTTTATTAAAAATACATCTATATTTACTATCGGAAATACGTCATCCAAATAATATTACTTACATACAAATATCATATAACTTGATATCAGCAATATCAAGTTTAACTCTGTTGCATGTTGAATTAAACGAGATAATGACATATGTTTGGCATTCGAATTAATTCTAGTATAGAGTTAGTTATAAACGACTACTCTTTGCCCGTGACTTCGTCCGCGTCAATTTTAGGATCAGGAATGTGTAGCTAACCGCCCGCACTCAATTCCGCCTCAGAGGCCGTAAAAATGTAGTTTCTGAATTTTCTTAAGTTATAATATGTTTTTTCTTATTTAGTCGAACGATATGAAAAAGACCCGTCTCGAAGTTCTAAAACACCTCTCCTAGTCAAATCCGTGAAGCCGTTCTTTTTTGAGTTATATAAATAGCGTAACTAACACTTCATATATTAAGATAATTATTTTTAATATACAATAATAAGTTGGTTCTAGTATTGAGTTATTTCTTTTTAGGAACCTAGATTACATTTGCAAAGAAAACGGTTCTTGCATAGTGGATGTGAGCAGAAGGAATCAGTGCCAGGCCTGCCGCTTCTCGAAATGTTTACGAGTTAATATGAAGAAAGATGGTAGGTAATAATATTTAAAATTAAACAAATATCTTGAAAATAAAATCATTTTCAAAAACGTTATTATAAATAAATTTTAATGATATTCATTTTAAGTGAAACCAAACCACAGATAAGTGTTACTTTAATTAGCTTAAAATAAGGGTTGCCAACTTTTATGGCAACATTAACCATTACAGCTACTTTTAATAAAGCTCAACAAATATATTTGTTAATTGAATGTTTATTAAGTAACGAAAACCACACGAACGATTCATCTCGAAATTGCGTACCCGTACACCAATATTGTAATTTATTGCCAAATACAACAATACAAAATATTGTATAAAGTTATTAAAATTCTTATTCCTGTAAGGATAATGTATAAATTCAATATATAACTATAACATATTGATAAAACACTATCGTTGTTTATTTTCCATTGTATGTTCAATTAATTATCACGCAATGAATGCTTTCATGTTGGTAAAATAAAGCTAAAAGAAACATTTCTGTGTAATACTATAAAGTTCAATTATATCCGAGCTAAGTCAATTATGTTCCAAGCGCTCCAACATGGTATGTTCGAAATAAAATTCGAATTAACATTTATTAGTGTAAAAAATAAACTTCACTGTTGTTTATTTTTTTTAGTTTTTATAATAAATCACTGCTGAATACTTAGCTAATTAGGTCTGCGTCGCATAATCTTTTTAGATAGTATCCATTAAAAATTGTAACATATAAATGTCTTCATTTACCTTAACATTTCTCGAATCAATAAATGGTTTGTATCCAATTGAACGGTAAGAGAACAAGTGGGTACTCGCGTCAATAAAGTATTTATTCAGGCTTCCTCCTAGAAGCATGTCTTTTCCATTAGGAGACATTTCAAGTATTTGCGGTACACAAGTGTCAGCGACAGAAAAAAAGCCGAAAGAGGGGCGACGCGTGCCCTGTGATCACCACAAGCGAGGTTCACACGAACCCGAAGTTCCAACATATTTTATATACTTATGTATATCATTACATAGACATTACTCAAATATTTACTACAATACGATGGTATATTACAATAAAAACTGAAAAAATCTTACGGAATTTAGTCAATGTTTCGAAATAGTATAAATATATAAAAGAAGTAATATTTTGTTCGTAAAATAAAAGACATAAGTTTTGCTTTTGAATGCCGGCGGTAAAAAAATCAATTAAAAAAACCAATATTATAATTAATTAAAAATAAAGATAGTGAACGATTTCATCATAGAAAAGAAGGGATATAATTTAAAATTTCGTTCCTGCTGTGTCCGATAGCGAAAAAGCACCAACACCTTATAAACAATATTTGTATTTGCACGTGAAATTGATCACAAAAGGTTGTCAACCCCGTTACAACCAGGGAACACAGATATAATAACACCTAGAGCGTATTTTGACGCCCCTCAAAACAACTGTGTTTACGTACTTGTAATTTTAGCCACAAGATTTCTTCTACAAACATTCTCTTGGCCCCCAAATTTATTTATAAAGATTAATTGTAAGTGTTTATTACTCACTTAGAACTCACTATTATTATACTAGGTAACACATTTGTCTAATTTGATTAGTTTTCGTCTAGTGTATAAAATATTTGTAACGACAAACTAAAAATGTAACAAATTTTCCCAGCTGTACAAAATGAACGTGCACCGAGAACACTGGGCAATCAACATCAACTTGCTCTTCAAAAGCTGAGTTACTTATCACGGCAGTCGGCTTTTTTTCCTAATCATTCTCCGGTAGCCTTATCGACATTTTCTCCATATACGTATCCAATACAAGACCGCGTCCAGAATCCTTACTTGGCTAATTCATCCTTGCAAAATTATTCCAATCAATCATCGATACCAATGGACGTTCCAAATCTCAATCCCCTTTTTAACAATCCAAGTGCTATAAATCCGTTCAAATTTCCGCTATTCCCTGGACCCATGCAATACTCTTTACCACATCCGCATACATATTTTTCTGCAAATATTTTCTACCCTCCCATCATATCTGCCGAGAATCCTACACTGTACTTGGATTCACAAGGTAAGCCACTTGCTGATATGACGTTTAAATGTGTTGCGAATTAAAATTATGTCGCGTTAATAATTATATTTTATTTATTTTGTGCGGATTGCGAAATGTTATTTGAGAAAGTAATTATTTAAATGCGTTACTTGTGTTTTCTCTTTTCCTATCATATGCTTACTTCATTTCGTCAAAATTAATTTTCAAAATATCTTTTTCTTTTGTCAACACCCTCGCACTTAAATATAAATCATATTTTTCTATTTTTTTTCAGAAACTTCTTCGAATGCATTGCATAACTCACAATTCGGAACATCTATACATAAGAATATCCCAGAAAAGCCTGACTCACTAAATTGTGACAAAATAAAAGAAAATGAAGTTACCAGTTCTGAAGAAACCTGCAGGGACACGGCATCAAAAGGCGCAAGTAAGGCTGCATCAATTATTTTTGTACGCCTTTGAAATAAATTTAAGTTGTCTCTTTTAATAATTAATGGACTTTAAATAATTTTGATATGGATGAATATTCTATTTTTATTTAGGCTTCTGCGAATTTGTTTAGCATCCAATATTTTCGTTCACTAATGAATGCGATATGAATTGTTAATAAAAGGAACATTAATATTACATGTAATCTGATGCAATAAGTTGAAAGACAATATGACTGTTCAATATTTTAATATTTATTTTATTGTATATGAGTTTTCAAGGAAATCTTATGTTGCCGACAATTACAGCCGAAATGTTTTTATTGTTCTAATTGTTTATTTTGTAGCTATTCATAAAATTCACAATCAGTCAAACCAGAAAGTGGACTGCACAGAAAATATCATCCCTAAATGCAGTAATAAAAATAAGGAACAAGATTTGTTTACGTCAAGAGAAAAACGTTTTTCGCTGTCTGACCTAGCTGATTATTCGGAAGTCGTTAGACAGACACAGGCCAATGTAATGTTTATGGACAGAGGTGTTAAATACAGGATTGATCCACAAAATTCCCAAATGGACATAGAGTTATACAATCCAGGTGCAAGGATGTTGGTGTCGGCCGTGCAATGGTTACATACAATCCCGTCATTCACACAAATCTCCCAAAAGGAACAAATATTGCTGCTACAAAGTAATTGGAAGGAATTGTTTATAATGCATGCGGCAGAATACTCTTTTTGTTTCGACGAAGGTAAGTCAATTAACCAATATTGATTAACATGATCGTAAAAACAAACTTAAGATGTATAATGTAAGATTTATAATAAATAAATTAAAGTTACTTTACTAAGTAACAAACCATTTAAACGCCTTACTATATGTTTGTATTTCAAAATTTAAGGAAATAAAATCTTAGATACTATTATTTCAACAGAACAGATCTCACCTGTTATCACGTCGAAACGGCCAAATATCAAAGAAGAGATCAGGAAATTGGCAGCGCTCTTGAAAAGAATTTCCCTGTGCCGATTAGATAAAACTGAATTCGATTGCTTGAAGACAACGATATTATTTCGAACAGGTGCCTCTTTGCATAATCTCATAGTAGACAGAGTTGACGCATTTCACTGCAAATCAAATAAAAATCAGATCTTTTTTATTAATAAATAGTATGTAACTGGCCAGTTACGATGATATAAAAAAAGTAATTTTATAGTTGATAAAACAACGAATATTCCATTCATGTAATTCATTTAATAAAAATGATACAATTCTACAGATTTCCTAGACGTCCCGTCAGTCACACAAATGGCAATCACTCAAGAGGAGACATTAATGCAACTACAGAAGCACTGTTCACATAAGGACTTTTTCAGGCTCGGAAGAATTATGTTATTATTGCCTAGTATATGTTATATTGCAAACCAAGGTCTTCTAGAACATCTACTTTTTTCAACTATATCGTTTCAAGACATCCATGAAATACTTTCTAGAATACTTATTCACACTTCGACGTAAATTTATTTTAGGCTTATACTTTCTACAGAGCAGGTTATTATCTGACAATGTAATTTGTTTCCTATTCATAAAATCAAGGGCAACTAAATGTATAAGAAGCTTGAAAACGTTTATTTAAAATTCATTGCTTTTCCAACGAATCTAAATGAGTTTGCCTTGCATCTTTTATTTAAAATTAATAGAATCAGAGAAGGTCAAAATAAATGCAATGCATACATTAACATTCCTTTTGAATAGTAAGTTAATAGTTTATATCTAAAATAAATGTAAAATTGTATCTACATTAAGACTAGAATCGACTAATCGACCATAGAATAATGAGAGATCAATTGACTTAAATTAAAAATAATTGCACAAACCTGTGTAAACAAATGTGTTGCACCAAATTTTACATCCTCACACTACATACGAAGTTTTACTCCTTAGTTATTTAATAACCTTCATAAATACTCATGTACGATGATTTACGATTCAAAAACTTTTAAGGATCTTTATTCGTCCATTCTCTCGGTGACGCTGTCAAAGCCGCAGGGCTAACAGCAGTAGTCATTACAAAATAAAAAGCCCCGTATGTAGCGTGTCGATGTCAACTTTGTCGAATAAATGTATGTCAATTTTACATAATTTTAAAGTAATACTAAATAAGCTGCTTTATAAATAAATCCTTATTTTTAAAACGGTAACATAATTTGTTTATACATGATTAAATTCAATATGAAACGATAATAATGATTTTGACCACGATATTGTGAAGTTCATTCGATCAAGAAGACAATTCAACAACTTATACAAGTCACGTATTAAGTAGGCACCGTTTATACTAAAAAAAATAATACGGAAAAATGTCGTTTATTTAAAAATATATGATAAGAAAAATCTAAATGCATAAATTATATTTTATTTCATTCGTTCCCTGTGTTTGCGTGCAGCTTTTCTTGGATGTTTTTATTTTATGTTTGCCATATCCACTTTATAAACTCATCTGAGCATTTAATTAAAAATCCGACTGACTATTGACTCTGTGTCTGGTTTTGACAAAGATGTTTGTTGAATAAATAGAAGCATATCGACGATAGGCGAGCTGAGATTTAGTTAAAGGACTGTGTATATAGTATTGGAAGACGTTTGAAACCCAATAAACCTATATGTATTTATTTAATAGTCATAATATAGTCGAATTACTATATAAATTAAGAAAATACAATTCATAATGATGTTTTTAAACAGTAATTTTCTAATACATATTACATGTGTATCTAACTTTCAAATGATTTACAATGTTGATAGAACTAGGTTTATAGCAGCAATAAACGAAAGCAAGAATTTTTCTTCAAAAAGAACGAACTCAGTGCAATGTTAATAAAATCTTACTGAGCTTAAAACCTCGTGTCGAATAAAATTAAAAAAATATATGCACGCTGTCACACTATTAAAATTCGTCGGTCGACTTCGGGAGAATTGTGGAGAGGCGGGATACAAGTACAGGCGCGTACTTCACTTATTTAGGCTGTTTACGAAATATCAAATGTTATATGTTTTTTGATACGAATATTTTGTCACTGTGACGTAAATGAAAACCATAGGTTTTTATCTTTCGAGGATTATAGAGCTTACGGTTTACTTCAAATTTATCATTAAAATAATTATTAATACATCAGATTTATCTGTTAACTAAATAAATGCGTCTTGTATAATATGAATTACGGGATTGAGGTCTATGTGAAAACATGTTTTCAAATAATAATGAGTAAGTATGTTGTGGAAAAAATAATATGAAATAAGTATACACAATTAAATACAAATTAAATATAAATTACACGTCCTAAACCTTATATTCTATCTCTTATTTTCTTTACGTTTTGCACGCAAAAGACATTCTCAAACGTCAACTAACTTTTGCAGTCTATTATATTCCTGTTAACAATTTCCACTTTTGTATAAATAGCTTATAAAACTTTAAAAGTGTTTGACGCAAAGAGGACAGATTCTAAAGCATTTGCAGTATGTTGGTAGGTATACAAAAAATATATTGTTTTAATTTTCAGAGAGAAAAGTTGAGGCTATAAACACGTTCAATATTGTATTGTCAACTTGAAAATATAACATGGAACGTAATAGGTCCAGACATCGAGAGTCCTTTCACTTTGTACGATACTGTGCTTGTACGGTTTTCTAATTTAATATGTTTCTATATCCACTCCGGCTTCCTCTATGAAGGCGTATATTATTATTGAAAGATATAATTTATTAGACACTTGTATAATTTCTTATATGACTCCTTAAAGATTTTTACAACTTATATTGATAACTAGTTTTTGCCCGCGACTTCGTCCGCGTTAGTTTGGTCAAGAGTAATATTACATATATTACTGCTGGTGTAGCTGACCAGTCGAACTCTATTCCGTCTTACAGGCCATAAATAATCAGGTTTTTCCTGTTTCAATCAAACAGAATTGACATATTTGTTAGTTGTCAAATCTAATGTCAAAAAAAACTTTTGTATGGGAAAAGGGCTGTTTTTATGGTTTTCCCAGTAATGAATAAATTTTCTCACCTTTTAAACCTTCCCTGGACTTCCAGGAGTATTTCAAGACTAAAATTAGCCAAATCCGTTCAGCCGTTCTCGAGTTTTAGCGAGACTAAGGAACAGCAATCCATTTTTTATATATATATATAGAAGATTTAGTATCAAAAAATGTAATACTAATGACATGTAATGTTGACTATTACGAGTATGTAACACGATCACTCTCTCAGTCTATTTAAACATTCATGGGGAGTACATTAAAAGGTTATCGGTAGATATTGCTGCCGATCTTGTATCAATAAATGACTATTAAATGACATACTTAATTTTAATAAAATAAATAACAGCCGATAAAAAAATCCTTTACCTGGATTTTAAATTTGCTTTTATAATAATTTAATATATAATAACTATATGTGAGCGACATATGTATGTGTGTGGGAATATTGTCATTTTTTTTAGAGTTGAATAAATTTTTGCCATAAATAGGTATACGAGAGACAAGTTTTTCCATTGCACTTATTGAAATATAGATAAGTTCCGTGGGTTTTGATTATGATTTAAGTAATCTATAATATTTAAAAAAAAAAACAAAAGTTCTATCTACTTTTATTACAAATGTTTTATTGTAAAAAAAATAAAAGAAGCTTCGTCCTTCTACAACTTTTAATCTATACTTATTGACGTAACAAACATAAAAACTGACAATGTTTACATCTCACACGTGCAATTCTAACAGAAATCTGTCATTCTAATTGGCTTGATTACATCACCGTGGCTAACACCGTACAAACTGCCATATGAAACGTGAACCGAGCCGTCGCTACGATAGTCCGCCGGGACGAATAAATGCTCTATCAACAACAGAGATCAATCTGCACGCGGTGGTATCATCACGATTAAACGAGTCGCTTTGACGGGCATAACGAGAACTATCCACCAATCTCTCGTTGCTTGTCTGGCGTGTTAACTGAACCAAAAGTAGTAAAAATCTAAAAAGTAGAATATCAAGCAAAATTGAGATCAAAATAACGCTACTCTTAGTTGTACTCTTGAATAACGCAAATCAACTTGTAAGGAATTCACAAACTAAAGTCAATTTAATTCTAATTAATAGTTCAGACGGCTAGCTTGTTCGTCCCGAACAAGGTATATTTATCCTTTACTAAGTTAACACTATTACAACCGTGTGGATGCTTCTTCTGAATCCATTAACTACAGGGATCACAAATATGTATATAAACAACCAATAAGTTATACTAACCAACAATACGAATAACCCGGTCAATGCTTTATCTCCAAGCGAAAATTTCACGAAAAAATATAAAACAATAGAAAAGTCTATTATAAAGTAAAATATAACAACCCATAAAAACAATAGAATCAATGCTTCGCTGTAGATAATAGCAGCTATGAGTAATAAAATATTAACAGAAAATAACAAAATTCCGACAACAGCATAAACGTGAGTAATTAAATCACTTGAAATTTCATCTAAACCGATCTTCAATAGCGCTTCTTTGCCGAAGAAAAAGAATAACACGTAAAATGCACTCTTAAATACTCCCAGTAAAGATATAATAATTGTTCCCACTTTTGGCGTCGCACTGAAGCAACATGACTTTGAAGTTGGACAGTATCTGTTTAGTAAGTATTGACCGCAGTTAGACTGTAAGAAATAATTAGATATCAAAATAATTAATTAAAAGTAGCTTCATAATAATGCAAACGAACGAACTAATTATCAACGAAATCAATCAAAAGGTAATATTGATATATCATAAACATTATGTAAGTATGCACTTACAGAGTTTCTCGTCCAAACATATTTTCCCATTAACTTTGTTTAATATTTCTAATTATAATTATAATATATATTTTAATTTATTAACTGATTGTAAGATATCAAAAACCTTTCGTGACAGTTGGTCACAGACGTCATCTCAGAAGAAGTTTCAAAAGAACTATAAGAGGTATATCTAAACTACACAGTCTATTAAAGTTTTTTGTTCAAATTAATTGGACAACTAAATTTTTTTATGTTCAAGAAGATAAATTAGTCATTTCAATCCTCCTCCTATTTTTATATCTCTGGAAATATTAGACCGATTTTGACGAGATCTTCACTCACCGGTAAGTAAAGTGAGAAAATGGAAAAATTGGTTATTATATGACTCCTTCAATTATAGGCTGATTTTTTGGCGGCATTGTCCTGACGAAGATGCGCTACCACCAAATGAGGGACTGATAAAAGGATCTTAGAGAAATCAAATGAGATAAAAGTAGGTTAACGTGGACAAAGCCGCCCACAATTATGCACTTATTTGGTAGACAAAGTTATAGGAGGTATAGTTTAATAGCTTTACACAACTAAGAAAGAAAAGTGCAAAGATTAATTAAAATATAACTAACCTCAATAGAAAAAGCATGAAATTTTTAAGTCAGCGCCACTGTTGATTAGTTACGATCAGAATTCATGAAAGCTGTCAATATCTTAAACAAATATGAGAATTAAAACACGACTGATTTTAAATCTCGTTAGTTTTCAGAATAAGTATAAAAGTTTTGTAAAAAATGCTTCTCTTTTTTCATGGAAAACAAACTTTTTTATTGCATTACAATTAGTTTTTTTATTCATAAAAAATATTACTTTATAGTTTTATTGAGACTTATGAATTCTCTGTATAAATTTTCAAAATAAAAGTATTATCCTAGTCTTTCCTAAAAGAGATAAACAGCAAATTATTTGAATAATTAAAAATTGTACTTTTCTGTATAAGTAACATAAAATGTTCGAAGTTGTTTAAAAAGTAGGTTCTTTACTTACTGTTGCTTAAAAGTTTTAACGTGTATAAAAACATCTATTTTTGGTTGAAAAAGTTTTTGATAAGACCCTCACAAACCTTAATTAGTTTCATGGTTAATGGATAGATGGCCTTATTACTAATGAGAAAATATATATATTTTTTAAGTGTGATAATATAATAAATTTTACAGTTCTAAAATATGTTTTATTATCAGAAACAAATATTATATACTATAACATTAAATAAAATAATTAAATACTAATTTAAGCTGTACTTATAAAAATATATGTTTTTAATTTTTGAAATAATAAAATAGGGTTAAAATTATTTTAAACAACAATGATAATTATAACTGCTGTTAAAAAATCGCCGTAATGCTATGTGATTACTTTGTACTATTTGTATTTTGTTGCCATGTATCGGACAGTTGTACCGTTTCTCAGTAATGCTATACGACACTATTCGCGGGAAACGAGCACGGTTTTAAGGTTGAGTTTGTGTTGATTTTTTAACAATATGACTTGAGCGGTCGTGAAGGCAGCTATGCTGTATTTTTTAGTTGCTCAGGCCATTATATATCTTTCTATTAAAAACAAGTAAATACGACATGGACATTCAAAGTAACGAGTCAACATGGTGCATGGTAAGTAAAACTTTAAATATTATGTGCCATCACATAAATGTGTTTTGTCTTATTTACTTTCACACAACTAGTTACAAAATAATTATCATCTAAAATGTATAAAATAGCGGCTAATACATATTTGTCTATTTATAGGAAATATTGGAATTATATACTTCCTTGATCATTAGGTACAATAATTTAAGTTTATATAACTTTTCCTTAGTTGAAAAATTTAAAAATAAAAAGTATAATATATTGGTGCTGTGTCATTTATAAAATCATATTACCTTATAGGTATAAAACGTTTTTATGACTAAATTTAAAGGAATGTGGTAAGCATTGAAATTACATTGCATTATAATGTGTGTGTATAGTACACTATCTGTATTAATATTTGTCAAATAAACAAATTCTAATAGTATAAGCACTAATGTATTCTAAATTAATCAAAAAAAATTGGTGATTTATGGTTTCTCTAATTTAATTTGAAATAATTTAGTCATTGCATACAATATGTAGTATCCGCTTTGCAATATTTACATTTGTAATACCAATGTAATATAAGTGATAGTACATCAATAAAATAGTAGTAAAAGTATTTATTACTTTTTGAAACTCACGTTAGTTGGAACGGACTTTTAAACTTAAAATAATGTATTGAGAGATCAGTGTTTACGTTGTTTACATACAGACTCGTAATTACATAAAACAAACTAATGCATATGACTGTTCGCTTAATCTGAATTAGAACAATTGTTTCCTAATCACAAGCATTAAGGTATTAACTGATACAATGATTCTCTTACAAGTTATATTTTACTACAAAATCTTTGCTCCATATTAATGTTATAGACTCGACTAAGTAAGATAAGATATCTATTGAGAGATATACATTTTTCTGACCGTGACATCTCAAAGATAAATCTCGGGAAATATATGTTGTGACCAACAATAACATGATTCATGTAAAATTTATTTATAATAATATATTATATAAACTTAAGAATAGTATCAAAATAAATTAACATGAGATTTGTCAAGTTATGTCATTAATTTTAATGATAGCTTAATGATGCAATATGTTATATGATTACAGGAAGAAAGGAGACCATGGTACAAATATGTTACCGTAGAGCCTGTGATGTTTTTCTACATGATGGCTTATATGATAACAAATGTTATCGAGCAGACATTCTATGTGTTCCGTGCCTGCACCGTAGACCATGGTTACAGCGAAGAGATATGTTACAATATAAACAAATATGAGGATATTAATAAAGAAGTCCAGGTAATTAATATTGGTTCAGTCTCTGTAATTGTCTTGTTGGAATTTCTTGAGTAATATTACATTTATTTCCCTTTTCTATGTTACAATTACACTTGTCATAGGTTTGTATGTCAATATGATTATTCAAGTAGATAATTACAATAACATTGTTTCACAACATTAATTTTATTTGTCATTAGTTTATTGGTCGACTATATATTATATAATAAAATCATTGAAGCAAAATTATTTATTATATATTTTATTACTGCTTTTGCTGCTTTGCTATGTACTTTTTTCTTTTAATATTTGATTTTATGATGTCACTTGGTTAAGTGTTATGCAATTTGAAAGAAAATATATTTATGCTTTAAATATATCAAGCCAGTTATATTAAAGTATTTGTTTTTGTTAGAGATCATGTTGTATGCTTTGCTGAGTATATTTTATTGTGGCACTTGCGAAATTTGATATTTGCTGTTATAGAATAATTGAAGCTGAAGTAACATAGACATTTTGCATATGTTTTAAAGGCAATTTATATAGTAAGTTGAGGTAACTGAGATTGGATTACATTATTCAAAAACAGATGTTACTAAAAACCCATTTAGCCACTTTTTTAGTTATAATAATACTAGTTTTTGTCTTTTTATTTTGGGTTTATTGTGGTTTTCTCCAGTTATTGTAATAAATGTCATAATTTAATATAATATTAAATTCATCTTCATGAATCCATGTATAAGAGAGTAACGAACAAATGAGCAAAGCAATTGATGATGTCATTGTAAACAGACTATGATGCTATGATATATCAAAATATAATAGTATATATACTATGACGTATCAAATAATATATAGTAATGTATTCTAGGTGACGGTGTCAACATTTCATCAATGGAACGGCATAGCTGGTCATGTTGTGCCGCTGCTGCTAGCATTTTTCCTTGGTTCATACAGCGACAAGCGCGGCAGAAAAGTGCTGTTGCTGGCCGGCCTATTAGGCAAACTCTACTTCTCTATCATGATAACCGTGAATACTGTTAAACGTGAGTTATATGTGAGTTTGTATGACCTTGAAATCAGATTATATTCTACAGGATATATTTATTTATGTTTCGTTACTAGTTAGTTGGTATATATTAGTAGTTTTTTAATTATATGTACATATTGACATTGTTAGACATCGTAATTGAAAAACTTAGGTATATTTAATATCAGGACCTTATACTTTTCATTCACACATAAGTTTTGATCTTCCGTTCCTTATCTGCATTATATTAGAAAGAGTTATTTATATATGCTATATAATATATTTTTTCAGCATGGCCTCTTAGCTACGTGATATACACAGCAGCGTTTCCCAGCGCGTTGACCGGCGCTGATTTGGCGATATTCGCTGGTTGCTTTTCATATATATCAGATGTATCATCAATTAATAATAGAACTCTGAGAGTTGGAATTTTGGACGTAGTCTACTTAAGCACTATGCCCACTGGAGTCGCTATTGGTAATAAACGAAAATCTTGAGTTTTTCCATACTTTGGATCATGACTGTACTATAAATATTTTCGTCATATAATAACATTTATTTATTATTACGATAAATGCCATCAATCTATGTTTAGTACTGATAATAATTTGTCTAACTTGAAGGATAGAGTTATCAAGATATTCTTTTAACCACCTACGACTTTATTTCCACTTACCAAGTAGAATAACAGTCTAGCACTACCCAGTTTATATATAAAAATATATATTTCCAGGTAATCTTATATACAACAGATTGGTGAACAAATCATTCACAGCCATGTTCGCTATCAACTCCTGTCTGATGTTTGTCGCTACTTTATATTGCACGGTGTTTCTTAAATGGCAGACGAGACCAGAACAGAAGTCTTTGAAAGATGATAACGTCAAAAATCCCGTGAAAGATTTCTTCGATTTGAACAACATCAAACAGACTTTGATCACACTAACCAAGAAGAGATCTGATAATAGAAGATTGTTCCTATGGTTCCTGTTAATATCTATGGCTTTCTATACATTCCAAAGAGGTATGTGACGTAAACATGAGTGTAATAAATACATGAAAATGTTTAAGCCATTAAAAGTTCTATTGGTTTTGTTGTTTTTAAACATTTGTGGTATATATTGTGATGGCTAAGTTAGGTTTTTGGTTCTACAAAATGTTAACTTTCAAAAAAAAAACATTCTTATTATTAATAAAACTCATTTGTTTTGATTTATATAGTTTATGTATTACCATTATATTAAATAATTAAAACGATAGTGTAACTACAACCTACCAATATATACATACATACCATAGTATGTAAATATAGAATTATATATATTATACATGTCATAATTGTTATGTTTTTCAGACGAGAGGCCTGTGATGTATCTGTACATGATAAAAGTCTTCAAGTGGGACGCGACTGATTTCAGTAACTTCCGAACGTATCTCAGCACCGCTTACGTCGTAGTAATGTTGTTGGGGATACCGCTAATGACTAAAATCCTCAATTGGAGAGACACGGTAATATTATATGAAGGAAACAACATTATCGTTGACGTCCTCTAATTATTATTATTAATTAATAAAAAAGAAAACCAACAATTTTCGAGTTCAGAATTCATATATATTAGATATTATCTCAAATTGGACAATAACCAATATGGCAATTAGAAACAACAGCTGGTATTTATACTACTGATTACGAGTAATAGGCTATTTAACTGATTTTGAGAAAATTATTTTAAACTATTTGTTAGTACATGATTAATACACCACATGAATATTCTGCGAAATTTGCATTATTTTTTGTAATATTTTGTTGATTTTAAGTTAAAATATTCACGCTGAAATTCTTGTTTCTGTTACGGACATCATATGATGTACTTTACGTCAGAGACAAGTAAACAATTCTAACACAGTATATAGCAGTAAACAATCTTGATTTGCATGTGACGTCACGCGAGATATAGTAAATTAAAATGTGGAATGGAAAATTAAAAAAATATTTGATATTTTTTGTGATTTTTGCAAAATTTATAAATATTTTTGGGGAACAAGAAAGATTAATATAGTTTTGTGTCACTATCTCATAGAATGTCCACATTTAGTTGCCCATTTTTAATACTATCAAATAGCCAATAATATTGATGTTTTCTTAAGGAAAGAGTGTGATATAATAGTGTATTGTATAAAGCCACGTGACACAATCTTTTAGATGTCCGTTTGCCGGTTAGTTGTCATATTCATTGCTTTCAGACATTTGTCTAAAATAATGAAATAAATAATGAGTATAATTATGAAATCTTCATCGAAGAATTTGCGACAACGAATTATTATAATTAATGTTCTTTATGTTCTCAGGTGATAGTAATGTTGGGTGCGTCAGCGCATATGTGCGGTCATTTGATCTATGCGCACGCGCAGACTGACAACACACTGTACGTTGGAGCGACGGCAGCAGCGCTCGGCCCGTGTGTAGCGCCCCTTATACGGTCAATGACCTCCAAGGTTTTGGCGCCTTCTGAAAGAGGTTCTTATACTCAATTATTTTATAGAAACTGAAAATATTATAATGACCACAGAATTGGTAGTGTAGTAATGGTGGCCTAGTGGTCAAAAGGCTCGCCTCTCATGCACGAGGGCGCGGTTTCGATCCTGGCAAGTACCAATGTGTTTTTTCCGAGTCATATGTACTTTCTAAGAGTATTTGGACATCATTGATTAATGTTGATTTCCAAAGAGGGTTGATGTCAGGCAGGCGGCCGGTCGTAAAAACAAATAGCCAAAACTATTCATAACATTTAAGGCAGACCCTGGCTATAGCTGGGAAATGCCCAGGTAGAAGAAGATACATAATTTCTTTATAAAATATCTTACTTTATTTATATAAATTTTATTAGGTTTCACTTACGTTTACCAATACTTATTAAATGAAACTTTATCTTAGTAATGTTATATTTGCAGGTGTAGCGTTCGCCTTTCTATCAGTGATGGAGAACGCCGTGGCAATGTTCGCGTCCGTGTTGTACTCACAAGTATACAAAGCTACGTTGGACACGCCTTATATAAACGCTATATTCTATCTCACTATGGGAACGCAGGCTGTCGTGTTCATTTTGTCTCTGTGAGTATTCGCTTAGCACTAGTTAGCGTTGCGACTCTATATACGGAGAGTTAACAGTCTTTCATTCGTTAATCTTATCGTGTTAATATAATGTAGGTTTATAAATGAAAAGTTAAGATACTCGTTCGTAAATAGTCATTAGGGTTATAGTAAAAAAAATTTAATAATAATAGTCTATATATAAATGTTTCTTTTGTTTTTTAATCATTTCATATCGAATTAAACAATATATGTATGGTCAATACATATAATTGAGTACTGTTCTGCGATTATTTGGATTCATGTGCATTTAATCTCTTATGTAATTAGAATATAAGTTATTTGGTTTAAATATCTTTAAAGTTAAACATCTAGGTAATTAGTTTCGCCTAGAAACAAATTTTTATACGTTAGTAATAAAGCGACAGTTTAAAGATCATGTAATTGAATTACATTACCAAAAGAGCAAAATATGAATCAATATGCTTAGTGAAACAATACGAATAATAATCTTGTAAGTTAATTGTGGGTTTTAAATGTGATTTTCAAAATATATATCATAAGACAAAAGAGATCAAAGTAAAGAGAAAAATATATATATTAACAGTTTATCTCGTTGATTATAAGTTTCAAAATTACAACGATTTTATAATTTTAAGTCCTTATTCAACATCGCAGTTAAACATTGAAACTATGAAAGAGTTAAATAGAAACTTTTTTATATTAATATCTTGTAAAAAAAGCTTAGTACAACCTTGTATGTATACGTATTATAACTTTACAACTAAAAGTTTTAATAATTTATATTAAAAAATATATAAATAATTATATTGATGTTAATTATCCACAGTACCATGGAGATATCGCTAAAGGGAAGACGATTGGAGGCTCAAATACACGAAGACGTCAATAGTATGTAGTAAACAAATATATTTTTTAAGAGTATTATGAGTATGTATATATGTAAATGATATAGAATTAATATTTTAATAAATCAATTTATTTGTATGAATAAATTCGTTACATTGTTTTATATGCCGTGTTGTATTTATTTACAAAAACTGTTGTATTTAAATGTAGTATTAAGAATTGAATATGTAAAAATACTGCGCTGGCAACACTTAACTAAGAAGTAATAGAAATCATATAAATTAAATAATGCTTGACTTTTTTGGTATTTAATATAAATATATAAAACATGTGGAATACATTATCGGCTTAATGCATTTAGTATGGTAACATTAATGTTATGTTGTGACGAGTCAGTCATCTGTACTTTCATTAAGGTTCACTTGAAATGTGAACGATTTATTTAAAATTGTATGACAAAATAACTTGTATGATACAAAATGTAAAATATATAAAGATCATTCAGATAGGACAACTGTTTTGGAAGAAATAATAGAAAAATTAAAACTATGTACGTCGGCGGGAGTATTTACACTGCTTTATTTAATTATGCCTTGTTTATTCATGTCTTATTGTATTCTCCATGGAATTTATTAATCTAGACTTAAAAAACTATTTTTGAATGCCTCACAAACTTCTGTAACTTCTGAGTCAAATTTCTATTTCACGGTCCAATATTTATTAAGTCATTATTCTTGCCGATTTCGTTTTCATATACAACGTGTAACATAATTAACGCACTCCCTGAAAGTAGTTTGTTCAGAATCGGAATCTGGATCGATTTTTATAGTTTTTTATGTAGGTCATTTTTTTTCTTAAATTTAGACAGAACTAAGTAAATTACAGTTATCCTACACACAGTTATCTAAACACTTCATTGAAACGAAAATGGATCGTAAGTCAGAGTATTAAGATTTTTAAAATGGAATATGAAATTAGTAATCATCATTCAATTGAAGAAAACTGATACTTGTTTCAAGGCTAAAACAGTATTTTACAAATATCTGCGCACGCACAGCGACAGCCGGCACACGCACGTGTCCATTGACCCCCTAGATCAGCTGATTTGACGTCACTCAACTTTTTTTTATGGGGGCGAATTAAATCGCTAGTTTATGACACAGAGACAACAAGTTTCGAGGAACTAAAAAATAAGATAATTACCGCCACTGTAAAAGTGAAAAGTAACACTGCAGTATTATCTTAAATAAAACCACAATTGCGGAAACGGACATTAAAGTGCATTGAACAAGGCGGTGGACATTTTGAAAATGTTTTAAAACGACAACGCCGTGCGAGTGCAAATTAAACTAAGTTTGTTTATGGTCTTTAAATTATTGTTAATATTTTGATTCACACCATTTAAACACGCCGACTTTGTCGTAGGTATTGTGGTGTCTAATCAAATCACGCGTTATCAGCTGTTTAATAATTCTTATTTACAAATTAAATTTAACAAATCAGTTGTTATAAAATATTGGAATCACATTAAAAAAACAATTCAAAGTCGATAATCTTAAGCCTGAAAAGTGTGATGGAAAGAAGAATCATAAATCATAATGTAGTTATTTCGTGTTCTTATTATTACCTACTACTTATTATTGTCGGACGGCACCCTGAGAGAGAGGCGCGGGCGCGGCGAGTACATTGTGTCTGTCTGTGTGTGCGTGTGCAGCGGAGTGTTGGTGAATAGCTGACCATATTATTTGCACGAAATTGGGATAACTAATTTCACAAATAAAAAATGCTAACGCACATATAAATAATATTTGGTGTATGCATTCCGTTTATATTATTATATTCTAATTGGGGTGTTTGAGGGTGTGCGTTAATTACGTTACACGTTGTATAAATCCTATCTTTCTGGTGTATTTCGAGTTTGAGAGTTAAGAAGACAACAAATCAAAGGAAGTGCTATCTTGTAGATATAATTGGTTTAATATTAAAGGTCCTTGAATCACTATACTAGTTACTAGCTCGTGAATTTCCAAATGCATTGTCTGCAACGATTTTTAGAGAATTTAGTTTTACTGTACAGTCTTAACAAATACTATTTTAAGGGGATGCTACATCAGCTGCGCCTTTCAGCGTAATGATTTTATTTAGATACTTGTTTAATTAATTGTTTTGATCAGATTATCCATCGTAATAAATCTATCTTCTATATATATAAAAATGGATTGCTGTTCCTTAGTCTCGCTAAAACTCGAGGACAGCTGACCGGATTTATCTTATCTTAGTCTTGAAATGTTCGTGGTGGTTCAGGGAAGGTATAAAAGCTGAAAAAAATTGATTCATTACTGGGAAAACCATAAAAACAGCCCTTTTCTATTTCCCATACAAACGTTTTTTTTTTACATTAGATTTGACAACTAACTAATATGTCAATCATTCTGTCGCACTTCAAAACACGGACATTTATGGCTTACAGGTAAACTCCAAAAATATAAATAAAAAACGTAATAGATATGTATTTCTTGATTATAAGGCAATACGAAGTTGGGCAGGTCTTCTAGTCTGTAATAAACATCGACGAGTGTGAGCACTAGGTACTATAGAATCCTCGTTTTATTATTGTGGAGAGTAAACCCTGCATTTATGGGATATATTTAGGTACGCGTTTTCGAAAAATTACGAAATGCCTATATTAAAGAATTAAAGCCTCTTAAAAATACAAAAAACTGGCAAGCCGCTCTTCTTGCTACGCCGTGGAAATTTAAAGAAGAATTTAGGTATTTTATAGAAACATATAAAGACCATCCACATCAAATCTTATGTCTCCTCCACAAACACTAGAATGTTTCGAACTATTAAATTTGATTCATAAATCACAAGTACCTAAAAGCAATCTAATTTATCACTGCGGATACCATCAAAGAAACACCGATCCTTGTAGATCTTCACACGCCTAAAAGTTCATAATAATACAAAGTCAAAGGATATATATGATTTAATGAAGTCTTCCCACTATTTAACACACACACACATGATCGTAACAAAGTTATTTAGGATAAGAAATTCTTAAAATTATTCCTAAACAAGATGATACCAAATCATGCTAAATTTGCACATTACTATGGCAGAATCCGAAATAAGTAACCTTCAAAGAATAAGTAAAGTTGCTCAGCTACAAGCCAGCCACCTTTAAACCACCCAAATGGGACAAGGGTTTTATTTCACAATTTTTTTTGTTTATAAAATTTTGTTGCTTGTATCAAGGAATTTACCTTCGCTAATATTTTTTTCATTGAGATGTCATCGACTTACTTCGATCAGCTTATTTTGAGATGCTTTTTACATTACATGAGATGTGTTGATGTGCTTTTTTAATTTATAACTGTAAATCAAACTATTCAGAAATAAAGTCGGAAGTCACCCGGTAAATTTTTTATTGCTTAACTACTCTTACTATAATCCCAACAGAATTCTTGTAAAATTTTAATAATCTGGCTTAAATACGTAATTTTAATGTATCTAAGAAAGCTATTATAACATATATTTTAACTTTAATACTACATAACACAACGGTAATTTTTAACCTTCTGCGCATAAAAGAGGAGTGTTATAAATTTGACGTGTCTGTTTGTGTCTTCATAGCTAATGAAGGGATAGAGCGGTTTCAAATTAGTTTTTTTTATCAAAGGTGACTTACGTACGAGTTATTAGACATGGCTGATGAAACTTCGTTGAGCCATTTAAAAGTTGTGGGGGCGAAAAAGGGAACTTATGACCTAACATCTGTAACATATACTCGACATAAAGGTTGAAAGGCTACTGAAAGATTATATGAGGAATTAATCGAGAGTATTCTTATTTTCATTAATTGAGAAAAATGTAGACGAAAAATCTGAAATCTTAGTTTTCCTCTAAACATGATTTGTCACGTGCGTAATGGAATAGTTTTCTATTTGCTACACCATCCAAGATTGTTAAATGAGGTCCATTCATTAGTCACTTATTAGCTTTCAGTATCTTTCAGTAACAAAACATTGAAAGAAATAAATAAATAATAAAACAAGATATTGATTTCTCTACATCTATTGATTACTTTTATTTATCGTAACACAGAAAGAATGCAATGTTCTACATGTAATCTACTCTATTGGCTACTCATTA